TTTTTTTTTTTTTTTTTTGGTACTGGGGATCAAACTCGGGACCTTGCACTTTCGAGGCAGGCGGCAGAACCACTGAGCTAAATCCCTGGCCCTGTCATTTTGATTTTTGGAAAGAGCTACAAGTATTACGATGCCAGATCCAGTGAATAAGGTGGATGAGGTCACACCGTAATGGTTTTACGAGCCTGCCTTTCTGTTGGATGGCACTCAGCTCAGCATTCACCCTATTTTTGATCAAACCTTGTAAAGACTCATGAAAGAGAACTTCTAGAACTGCTTCAGGAAGCGACCAGAACAACAGGATAGGTGTGTTTGAAGAAGGGGGATTCATGGCAATGTGCCTTTTACTCTAATATATTTTTAAAGCTTAAGCATTCTCCGTGTGTGTTGATCATGCCCTGAACTCCTTTGATCCCTTGGGCCACACTAACGCTCTGCCCGTAGCAGTGGGGCAAAGAATGTCCACCGTGTCGCTTTCCAGAAGCTTCCATGAAGTGGTCTGGATTTCATCTCCTCTTCTCTTGCAGTTCATATCACGGATACAAAACCATGAAGGATTTTGTCAGGAGGAGGTGCTGGGCCAGGTGAGATGCAGTCACGGGGTGCCAGGGTCAGGCCCTGTCCCAGCCTGTGCCGCCCAGGGAGCTGCCACCCCGGGGGAGGGACGGTGGCTCCTCCAGCCAGACCTGCCGGCCTCTGACCTCAGTCCCAAGGGAAGAAATGAGAGGGCTGGAAAACAGAGTCAAAGTAAATGTCAGCCCAGGAAATGCCTGCGGCTCCCGGCGCTCTGGTTTCTGAAGAGTTTGTTTTCAAGAGCAAATAAGAGAAATGTCACTGGCAGGTTCTGCTTTTGGGCCGGAGGAAAGGTTGGCTGGGCTGGGTGAGGGAAGGGGGCACTTCCACTCACTGGGTGCTCTCGGGGGTCCTGCGTCCTGCTCCAGCCCGGGCAGGGTCGTCTACTCCAGCTCCACGCCCCGGCCCTGCTGAGTGTCCTCAGTCAGTAGCTCTGAGTAGTGACAGCCCCTGGGGTTTGAGGTCACCCTGGGTCCCTGGGCTTGTATTGTTTTCCCATTTAGAAAATGCAAACTGGTGACCAGTGGGCCCTGGCTGGAGGTGGCCCCTGTCGCCCTTGGGGACGTGTCCATCATCCCGGAGAGCCCAGAGAGCCCAGAGGGTGACGGGCGTGGTCGCAGCATTGCACTCTGGGCTGTGAGCGACAAAGGCGACATACTCTGCCGCCTGGGTGTGTCTGAGCTGAACCCTGCGGTGAGCACCCCACTCCTGAGCCACCCTGTCCCACCAGATGGTCCCCCAAATCAGAACTCTCGTTTTGCAGTGGGCTGGGCTCAGGCCTGCCCAGGCTAGGTCCCTGGGATGGGGAACACCTGTCCCTCCCGGACAGGTTGCTGGGGCCTCTGAGCAGTTGTTGTGGAGGGCGGGTTGGCAGAAAGAGTTAGTCTCCTGGGGCCTGGGGTAGGGTTGGGGGCAGAGGTGGGCCCTGGTGACACAGAGGCTCTTTGGCAATGCTGTTCTGAAGCCTGGAGCTTCAGCGATGACTGAGGTCAGGCCACAGTCAGGACTGAGTCAAGAGGGGCTGGGTCTGTGTGATGCCAGGGTCACCCCAGGATGCCACATGCTTCCCAGGGCTGCCCAGCCTCAGGTGGGTTTGGGTGCTGGACCCTGCACCAAGCCTGAGCCAGGAGCCCTGGTGACCACCTTGGTGCCCTTCTCCTGCCTCCAGGGGTCCTCCTGGCTGCACATCGGCACTGACCAGCCCTTTGCCTCCATCTCCATTGGGGCCTGCTACCAGGTGTGGGCTGTGGCCAGGGACGGCTCTGCATTCTACCGGGGCTCTGTGTCCCCCTCCCGGCCAGCTGGTGAGTACCAGGCTGTGGTAGAGGCATTGGTACAAGGGTCCCCCACACTTGGTGCCACCTCTGGAGCAGGTGTAGGGCCGAGCCATGCTCATCACCCTTCACCGCTGCCCCCTACCCTGAGCCAGGCCTCCCTGGCCCCGCCATGACCGTTTGGAAGGGCAAGTCACATGGGCTATTCTGTGCTGGGTACACAGACAGCATCCAGCTGGGGGAGGCTGGCCTGGGGTGGACAGATGGGTGGCTGGTGGCGAGCATGTAGACCCCTCCACAACAATGGATTTGAAGGGCAGCCAACTGAGGCCGACGCTTGACTGCATGCTAGGCTGGGCACCTTTGTGTCCGTGTTGCTGAGGTTGATTCATTGAGCCCCATCTTTGGAACCTGTCGTGGGCCCTGGAGGGCCCTGGGCCAGGCTGAGGCACATCAGGCTCCGCTGTGCATCTGTGGCACCTGGGAACCAGGACTGGCCGGAGCGACGCAGCCCACCGTGAGCGTCGGAGGAGCCAGCACCCCCGAGTGTCTGGACTGGCAGGCTCCATGTCCCTCGTGGCCTCCTGAGTCAGCTGTCTTGTCACAGGTGACTGCTGGTACCACATCCCTTCACCCCCCAAGCAGAGGCTGACCCAGGTGTCCGTGGGGCAGACATCCGTGTATGCACTGGATGAAAACGGCAAGTAGTTTTGGCTTCGGTGTGGTCCGCGGGGAGGTGGGGTTCCCTGAGCACCCCAGACCCCACAGTGTGAGGAGGGCTGCGTCCCTCGGCGCCGCTGGCCTCTTCCCAAGGCTCCCAGGAGTGTCTGGGACTTTCTGTTCCACGCTTCCGCTGGGGACGCCTGACAGAGCGGGGTGATCGGCCTGTGTGACCCTCGCAGGTCATGGTGACCATGGAGCCAGGTCCCTGAGCTGCAGCCTGGCCCTGGCCCTCAGGAGACGTCCAGGGTCTGGGCCAGGACACAATAGCACAGTCAGTGTCTCATATCCATCCTGACAGATGTCCTGCCCGGGGTCAGTCTTGGTGCCAGTCTCTCCCCTGAGTTACCCAGGGCTGGCGGACACCAGCCCAATAGCCAGGCCCTATTTGGGGAGAAAGCAGAGTGCTGGTCACTTCTGCCAGTGGAAGGCCACTGCATGGCAGGACCTGCACTGGGAGCATCTTCTAGAAAGTTCCACTCATGTCTGGGATGCAGGACCCCACAGGAAGCACAAGGCTGGCTCTCAGCCATCTCTAACCTCCATGTCTCCTTGGGCAGGGCTCTGGCCAGCTCCTTTCAAGATTGTGTCATTAAGTAGCCAGGCGTGGTGGCACGCGGCTGTAATCCCAGCACTCAGAAGGCTGAGGCAGGAGGATCGCCATGAGCTCGAGACCAGCCTGGGCCACATAGTCCATAGTCCAAGACCAGCCTGAACTATATAGCAAGACCCTGTCTCAAAAAAGTACCCCCCCCAAAAAAAGATCATGCCATTGCATTGGTAGCACACAGCCTATGATCTCAGCCCTGTGGGAAGCCGAGGCAGGAAGATCAAAAGTTCAAGCCCAGTCTGGGCACCTTAGCAAAACCCTGTCTCAGATAAATAAATAAATAGAGGCTGGGGATACAGCCCAGTGCAAAGGCCCTCAGCTCAATCCCCACTGGGAGGGGGGTTGTCATTGTCACAGATGGGATGGCAAGGAAAAGGCAAACTTAAGACTCGAAGTCCAGAGTGTTTATTCCAGATCCGGTTCTCTTTTTTGTTTGTTTAAAAACTTCTTTGTCCTCAGTTTCTACCTCAGTAGAGACAGGCTAACATCGCCGGCCCTGCACAGCACAATGGGGCGATTATGAAGCTCAGGGAAGCCCAGGCATAGAAAGGGCAGGGCTGGCCACAGTCCAGACTCTCAGCTGCAGGTCGACAGGAGCCCAGGCGTGTGGAGGACGAGAGGGGCACTGCCTTGGCACACAGCACTCCCACGCGCTCACGTGGCAAGATGGCCCAGGCTCCTTTGCCCTGTGACCTTGGCTGTTTCTGCCTCCAGGAAACCTGTGGTACCGCGGGGGAGTCACACCCAGCTACCCACAGGGATCCAGCTGGGAGCACGTGTCCACCAACGTGCGCAGAGTGTCCGTGGGGCCCCTGGACCAGGTGGGTAGACAGGGCGTGGGGTCCCTGGGCTTCCTGGCCCCCCATTGGTCCGCCCCTCTTGGCCCCGTGACCCGCTGTGGCTGGCAGGGGCTTCGTCGGGGTGTGTTCCAGGTCTGGGTCATCGCCGACAAGGTCCAGGGGACCCACGGCCTGAGCCGGGGGACTGTGTGCCGTCGCACCGGTGTGCAGCCCCAGGAGCCCAGGGGGCTGGGCTGGGACTACGGCATTGGGGTGAGTGGGCCACGCTGGGGACACTGCATGTAGCGGCCAAGGCAGTGCTAGCGGGGGCCTGGCGTGGGGGCCCTGGGCACAGCCCCTTAGGGTGATGTGCTTTCTCCTTCCAGGGAGGCTGGGACCACATCTCCGTCCGAGCCAATGCCACCAGGGCCTCCCGGAGCGTGTCCACAGAGCAGGAGGCCCAGGACCCTGTCTGCTGCTGAGGCCGCCTGTCATCCAGAGGCGGGGGAGGTGCCAGGCTGGGAGGATCAGGCTGAGCCGTTCTGTGCTGGTGTCTCAAAGGCTGACTCGGGGGCCTGGCCCAGGTCTCGGCCAACTTCAGATACTGGCTGAAATGCCCAGAAATCCGGAGCTCCGTGGATGAGCCCGCCGTGTCCCCAGTTTGCGGAGAGAGGAGCAGCGGCCAGGGACCCTCAGCCATAGCCTGTCCTGCCTGTCACTTCCCACTCTGCTTCCTGCCTCCCCAGGCTAGACCCTGGAACCCCAAGCCCTCCAGCCCAGCTCTTCAGATCACACCAGGGGAACTGTCGTGGGGCCCGGGTCACTTGTCACATGCTGTGATCATTCCTGAGTGGGCCTCGAAGTGGGAGGGTATTTTCTATGTTCGGCAGATGAAGACTGGAAATGGGTATACAAGTGGGTGAGTGTCTTCCCCCCAGGTGTTTGGGGTCCCCCGGAGTGGCCTAGAGATGGTGTCTTTGTGCAGAATCACCATTAGCTCTGGTCACCCCCTACCCACGATGCAGTGGGACAGGGCCAGGGCCTAGTCCATCCAGTGGATCATGTCGAAGGGTGGCAGAGTGGAGGTTGATGGCACCCTGGGCCCTGCAGGCATTGGTTAGGGAGCCAGAATGTGTCTGGCAGGCGAGGGGTGGACAGAGCCCCGAGTGTTCTGTGCTCGGGGCACCACAGAAGGCACCTCTGCCCCAGGCGGGTGCCTTGCCCAGCCAGACAAGAAGGAAGTGCTTGGGCAGTGGCCCAAATTGTGGCTGCCTGCACAGCCAGTATGTGTACCAGGTGACATCTTAAATTTACTTCCTGCAGCCAGACACTTTGCCCAGGAGGTGGCTGGAGCCAGGATGAGCGAGTGGCCACTTGCTGACTTCCTGGGCTCCCTGGAACACAGGGCAGCTCTGCATTTGCCTCTGAATCCACATTGCTGTTGGAGTTTGTCACCAGAAGCTGACTGAGCACTGTGTCCTCTGGGCCCTCTCTGTGGGCATCTGAGGGGCCTGGTGTCCATTGGCAATTGTTCTAGAGTTGGCAGGTGGCACCTGAGTGTGGAGCAGTCATGTGGCCCGGGGTGTCCCCCCTGCCTGTTTACATTTCCCTGTCAGGTCCCTGATAGGCAGTGTGGTTCGTCCCCCACACCTGTGACCTGTACATTCTGCTGTGAGTCTCGCTGTCTGCAGGTGGCTTTCAGTGAAGTACCTGGAGGATGTCACCGTGCCCCTTCTCCACGGTGACCTCTCCTGACTGTTTACCTGCGCAGCACCACTGAACTCTCTTGATTCCTTGGATGCTTTATTCAATAAAAACTTACACCACAGTGTACATGGCAGGATGGTTTTATTGATACACTGATTGAAATGCACAGTTCCTGTGCAGTTGTGCATGTGGCCAAAGCAGTTGCCCTCAAATCTTTTATTTTTGTTTTATGACAAGGCATCAATTTCATTTGTACTTTGAAGGCACTGTTAGAAAAAAATAAAAGCAAAATTGGATCAGATAAGAGATATCTTTACCACAAGGACAGCAGGGTTCAGGCCGCTCGGTTCCAGTTTGATTTTCCCAGACAGAAAAGTCGCAGTTCTGGCTTCTCCATTTGTGGGGAGGGTGGTGGGCCAATGACTCAGGGGACCCTCTGCTCCAACCTGCTTGTCCTGGGATTTGAGAAAGTTTAGCCCTGATGGCCCAACAGGGCCTACCACAGGATGAAAGAGTCCAGCCTGAACTGAGGGCTGGGACAAGGGTCGAGGGAGAGCAAGCCACAGGCCATGCTGACTGGCCACCAACCTGTTCCCTGTCCTCCCCCCAGTTGGACACCCCAAAGCGGGACTGAGGCATTTGAGGGTCCTTTGCAATGTGGCCAACAGCATGCAGATCCCCTCCAGCCACAAGTGAAGAAGAACTGGCTAGCTGGGCCCAGGTCACCCTCCGGGAAGTGGAGGGGATGCAGGCGCCAGCTCAGGGCAGAGAGAACCATGAGGCTGTGGTGTGGCGAGGTGGTGACCCCAGCAACAATGGGCCGTGGCTCGTTCTCAGCAGGGGGTTGGGGACAGCACCCTACAGCCTGTAGTCTGAGCCCAGATCCTCCGTGTGTCCAGCAAGTCCAGAGGCGAGCTGAGCCCTGCTTTAGCCTTGGTTCAGCTTCCAGGAGCCAGTGGAGGCTGCTGTCATTTCGGGATCTCTGGGCACAGATCCCTGAATCAGGAGATGCCTGGGCTGGGTCTGACTCAAGCCTGCAATTGTGTCCAACCTCAGCTCACACTGGTGGATGTCCTGACCATAGACCTTCCCCAGTGGCCACCACCAAGGGACAGACAGGAAGGCCCACGTCCCCACCTGACCCATGACAGAGCAATGGGATCAGATGAGGTTCCTGGGCCTATAGGGAAGGACACGAGATCGCCTCACTGGGACAGGGAGACCAGCGTGCCCAGGGCTTCCTTCCAGTGCGCCTGGCTGGGAGTTAGGACCAAAGTGGAAAGGCCTGTTCCTTCAGGTGCCACCTGCTACCCTTCACTTGGCCAGGGCTGACCCCAAGCCCACAGGTAGTGAGTGCCACACTGCCCAAGCTTGGGGAGGGCAAGGCCACGTGTTGGAGACAGACCAGCAAGAGCCTCGGCCTTGGCTGTGGCAGCCAAGCTCCTGGTCCAGCAAGGCCCTCATGGGTCTCAGGGTCTCTGGGTTAGCTCTATGCAGAGGGACAAAGGAGAAGAGATGCCAGCAGGCTTGACAGCAAAGTGGCCCCATCCGGCAGAGCCAGTGGGGCAGGAACGCCCCAACAGAAGGAAGCTGGGCCCGAGGCAGCTAGGCTGCCAAGCCACGCAATCCCTGCCATCAGGAGCAGCACCAGGTTGGGGGAGGGAAGCCCCCGCCAGCCCAGGCTCCACTGCGCAGAAAGCCCCAAACCCTCCCCCTGTGCAGGGGCTCAGGAGAACTCCTACCCAGCACCGGGGCCCCACAAAAACCCTCCACAGTCAAGTACAGCCCAGGGCACTACTACCTCTCCAGAAGCCCCCCAGAAGGGTTTAGGGAGGAAGCCCTGACCCTGGTCCCTTTAGAAGGAATTTAGGGTCCTCTGATTAGGGTTTCTGGCTGCTCCACAAGCCATCATCTTGTTTGGCCACATTCTTAGAAGGGCCTTGGACTCTGCCCTGCTGGCCACAGGCCTCTGCTTACCCAAATCAGAGGGCTGAGCCCTATGGCGAAGGGTAGAGGAGGGCCCCTTGCCCCGCTTGGCCTCAGCAGCTACAGGGAAACTCGTAGGTAAAGTTTTCTTGAATCCCCCTTGTAACGCAAGGGAAAGAGAATTTAGTGATGAAGAAGGCAAGAGGGTCTTTCCCGCTCTTAATGAGGCCACTGGCTCAATGCAAAAACAGCCGGGCTTGGAACCTCTCCGGGACATTGGGCCTTACGATGCTCAGGGTCATGGCCCAGAAACAGTTGGACAGGTTGCTTGTCCTTTGGGTGGTCTGGAAAAAACTGCTCCAGGGAAGTGGCTGAGCTGACTATTCAGGGAAAACGGAGTTGCTGGAGACACAACCTCTTAGATCTGACATCACCACGGGTCTGGGGCTCAGGTACAGAAGGACCAGGGCTGGGAGGAGCAGGCTGGGCCACCACTGCCACTCCGCCCCAGTCCAGGTGCTAGCTGCCCTCTCGGAAGCTGTGGATCTGCGTGGAGTACCGCTGCAGGTGGCCCTGGGGCTGGGCCTCTGTGATCCCCAGTGGGTCCCCGGCCACATGCTGCTGCTGCTGCTGCTGGTGGTAGTGCTGGTAAAGCTTGGGCCCCAGCGCAGGCTCTGGCCCCTGCAGGCCCGGGAGGCAGCTGCTGGACATGGTCAGGATGGTGGAGGTCAGTGACTTGATGTAGTTCTTGGCCAGCGTGAGCGTCTCAATCTTGGAGAGCTTCTTGTCGGCACGCACGTGCGGGATGACCTCGCGCAGGGCCTGGAAGGCGTTGTTGAGCTTGTGCATTCGCTGCCGCTCCCTCTCGTTGCTCTCCAGCCGCCTCTGGATGCTGTTCTCACGCCGGCTGCCCGGGCCCTGTCTCCGGCGCCCACCCTCAGTCCGTGTCCCCGCAGCCACCCTGGATGTCCTGCTCCGAAGACCCTTGGCCGGCTCCGACCCACCACCAGGCTGGGGCCTGTCCTCTGCCTGGTCCTCGGCAGGGGCCTCGGTGTCCTGCAGGGGTGCCCGGCGCCGAGGGGGCCGGGTTTTGGTCTTCATGGTCCGGACTAGTTGATGTCCCAGGAGGAGAAAGAGGCCCTCAGAACTGAAATCCAGAGCACAGGCCACTGTGGTCACTCAGTACGGCCACTGGACGCCCAGGGTGGCTGTCCATCAGCTTCCTCCCCAGTGCAATGCATCAGTGGCCAGTGGTAGCTGACCGCTTGGCCCTTTCATGCACACCGAGCCCTGAGCTGACTCACGCCCCCACGCTGTGCCCTCCTGATCTCAGATCAGCCCCTAAACTCTTGCTGGTCTCCCATCCCCTCTCCTTTCCGAGTGGCTTACACTCAACCTGGCGACCTCTCTCTCTCTGGTCTCATGTTCCTCACTGCCCTGTGAGTGCCTCCTGAGCATAGGTGACCTGTGACACTTTGCTCAGACCACCCCGAGACGTGTCCCAACCCTGGCGTAGGACGGCCCCTCTGCCTCTGCCCCAGGGAGAGGTAGCCATTCCTCTTGCCCTGCTGGATGTAACAGCCTCTAGGACAATATTGGGGCCAGAAACTCTGTGGACGCGGGGAGGCGTCACAGGTCACAGGTGGCCAGTTTCCAGGGTCCTTTCGGGCAGCCCCCAGCCCCACCACGTGGATGGCACCACTGGCAGGGGAGGACAACTCCCCCGTGGCCCCGCCTGGGTTTTCTCCTAGCTGTCACCTGCTCCTGCCTCTGGGTCCCCTCCCGGGAGCCCCACCCGGGTGCTCCAGTCCCCGTTACCTGGAGAACCGAGGTTGCACGCGCCGAGGCTGCCCACGGGGGACAAGGACACGTCGCTTTAGCCGCTCCGGGCGGGGCCGAGGACGCATGTAAATGAGCCCGCGGGGCGGGGCCGGGTGGGCGGCCACGCCTCCGCTCTCGGGACCCGGGGTCCTCCAGACCCGGCCCGGAGTGCCTGGCGCCGAGGGCGTGGGGGCCCGTTCTGCAGCTGGGGACCTCAGGGCTTCTGGGGGCCGTGTCGTGGGGCTGCACCTGACCGCCGCACCTGGCTAAGGCTGGAACCTGGAGCCCAAGTCTCGGAAGCCGTGGAGCAGCGCTTGTGTAATCATAGAAACCGTGACGGGGGAGCGCCACATCCTCGCAGTGCAGTGCGGGGCCCGGTTCCCCCGCGTCCCCACCCCAGCGCATCCGGATGTTGCTGAGGACCCAGCAGCCCAAGGGGTTAGGGACGCAGGTCCCTTTTCCTATCCCCCAGACGCTAGGCGGAGCTTCTGCTGGCAGTGTGTCCCCTGGTCAGGAGGAAATGTTGGTTGTCCCTGGGGTTTGGTCTCTAGGGGCGGGAGGCAGACAACTTGGGTTCAAAACCCACTGTCCCCCCAAAAACCTCCCCAGAACAACTGACAACCAACCACCTGATCTCTGCCCCCCCCACCACCACAGTTTCTGCACGTCACAAAGGCATTTTTTGGGGAGGGGATTGTTTTTGTGACAGGGTCTCCTTATATGGTTTAGGCTGGCCTTGAACTATGTAGCTGGGAGCTAGCCAGGCTGGGCTAGTAAGGACCTTAGAAATTAAATGCTTCTGAATTCTCCAGCAGGTGTAAAGGCTTTGGATTACAGACACTTCAAGGCAGCACAAATGCTATGTAAAACTCGTTTTACTCCACACACCTAAATCCCAGAACTTTTGGAGATCAAGGCAGGATTCCAAATTCAAGGCCAGTCTGGGAAATTTTGCAAGATCCTGTCTCAAAATTTAAACAGGGCTGGGGAGGTAGCTGAGTGTGAAGGCCCTGGATTCAATCCCAGTGCCTCCCTCCCCCTGCCTAAAAAACCCCTTCAGTTTTCCAGTGATGAAACACGAGTTTTCAGGATCCTGGGCCATTCGGAGACTCAGGCAGGTAGGCAGGCAGGGCAGGGCAGGGGAACGCCACACCACCCTGCATCCAGCACAGCGGAAAAAGCACAGAATAGACACACCAACAGTTTATAAATATATAACTATATTTATTTTGAATATTAAATACTTTTTAAATTACAAGCAATTTATTGAATCACACTATGCATCAATATACAGTAAAAATCTTACAGTTTAAAAATGTACACAATTTAAACTGAAAATTCATTAACTGTTACACTGCTGTGAACCGTTTTCCGCCTGTGGTTAGTACAACCTGGAAGGTGAGACGCGGTAGGTGACCAACCCCAGGTCCGTGTCTGCAGACAGACAGGAACAGCACGTACACAACGCACAGGCCCCTCCTCAGGACCCCGCTCTCCCCACACCGGATCTCAGCGACAGAACAGCCCCATTCACACCTCTTCAGGGGACAGAGTAGGTTACTGGTGCTGCAACACTGTCAACACATCTCTAAGAGCTTAACTTCCATGTCAGAGAGTTTTCCTTCTCAACAGCCAGGACTGCAGCCAACCCATTACTACGCAGGAATATTGTTTTGAGATTTAAGTCTCAAGCCAGTGTGTACACCCATTCTTATGTTAAGGCTACTTCTCCCAAGGCCAATGCTCTGAAGCTCAAAACTTCAAAGACGACAACTGAATTTTCAGGTGACGGAGGGGCTGGGTAGAGGAAAATGAGGAGATGCCTTCCTTCCACCTGGTCCTGGGGACAGCCATGTGATAGGTCATTAACTCTACAAATGCCCTCTGGGAAATATGAATAAAAAGAAGGAGTTTTGAAAGGCCTTTTATGGCAGCAAGATATACAAGGACTTTTCTCAGGTAAAGCCATCTCTACAGAAACAGTGGGGCCTGAACATTTAAAAATAGAATGGATGCTCTGCTGTCAATTCAGCACAGTTAAACTTGCTTCTTTCACCCTGAAAATGAACAGCTTCTGACCCAGATGTGGGGTCTCAGGAGGAGCTGGGAGCACTTTCTCCATGTTTCTCTTTCTGCCTTATGACAGGGTTGGCTAATAACACAAATCAGCATCTGGCTAGAAGACAAGTGAAGGGTAGATTACTTGTACAGTAGGATCTAAAATATACACACTCTGCCAACCAGGTATGAGCAAACCCCTCCCCTCCCCACATCATCTAGAGAATGCCACTGGTTTACTTCATTGCATAACTAGTTAGAGCAAGTATGTTTGAAAACCTACCACTGATAACTGATTTATCTGTAAAAAAAAACAAAAACAAAAAAATTACACAACAGAGCACGTGCTGATATTTCAAAAATGGGCTGAAGTTGTAATCCATTTAAATTTTTTTGTATTGCTTGAGATTCCAAAAGAACATGTTGACTCACATGTTGATGAGAAATAGTCTCCCCTTCCATGCAACACCACAGTACGATCCACCCCCCCCATGTATAAAATGCTTCTTTTGGCAATAAATTATGAGTGATATAAAAATTTAAAATGGGACTTACGTTAAAATCTTTTTTTTTTTTTTTTTTTTTAATTTTTGGGGACGAACAGCAGTTTAATTCCTCTGGCACTATTTGACCTTATGTTAAAATCTTAATGTAGTGAAAATGTACAGCCCCGAAATATCAATAAACTTATCCTGGGCTTACTGCATAAGCAGGCCATATGGTCTATGCATCTGCTTGATTTTAGTTGTTAAATCTGAATTCCTTTGACCTATAATTTAAATAATCTAATAGAACTACCTCTCATTTCTCTCTCAATCAATTAAGACTAGTAGATAGCGATAAAAATTCAGAAAACTCAGAAAGTCTCCATGGTAAGAAATTCAGAGTTATGATAGTTTTGGCAAAATCACCTTCAAGGGCCCTGTTTCTAATACAGGTGTCACAAGAGCCAGGGCCCCCTGCACAGCCCGGCACTCGCTCTGTTCACATCAAGTGGGGGACAAGGGCAACTCCACTCAGAATTTTCTTGCTCTGGAAAATTATTGCTTAGTATAAAAAAATTCATGAAGTGACTCAGGACCGGTAAGAAAGGTCACAATTTACTATGTAAACTCTAGCCAACGTCCACCTTTGCAGTCCACACTGGGGCCCAAGCCCTCCAGCTGACAGCAAGGGCCTGGAGTCATTCTGATGTCACGCTGGAGTCTGGGAGTGGACCAGCACCGGGAAACAGCTGGGGTGAAGGGCCAGTATGGGGTACCACCCGGAAGGAACATGCTGCCATGCTGCACAGCCATGGGAGACTTCCTGACGTCCAAGCAGAACTCCAGGCTGGGACACTCAGGTCAGCTTTGGGTGATGGATTCCAACGAAGTCACACTGAAGATGCTCAGTTCCTTTCATAGCAAGAGGAGGACTTGGTTCCTACAGCAGGAGGGAAGGGCCAGGCAGCCGGCCCCAGGGGGCTGTGCAGACTGTGATCTCACACAGGAGGACACCCTGGCTGCTGGGGTTCTGCTGTAGTTCCTTGTCCCTTCTGCACAGCTCCAGAATGTAGTGTGTCCTGGGTCGCATAGACTGGCCACCTCTGGCCAGACTTGGAGTGGCTCTGAGCTGAAAATCCAGCTCTGGAAATGTTTTCAGAGCTGGAATCAACACTACCTGCAGTGGACAAATCACCCTTGGTAGCCAGAGCCCCTCAGGGGGACATGCATACCTTGGAGGTCCCCACCTTTTCGAAGGAAGAACTCAACAGGACTCACACGGCCTAGCCGCACATGACCTGCCGCACCACACCGTGGCCCTGGACTGCAGCCAGAGCTGAGTGTGATGTGCACCTGTCACCTTTACCAAAAGGGTTTAAAACACCAGGGCAGTGGGGGAATCTCATGGGGAGGCTGTAAGACCCTTTGGCAGCCCAGCGAAGCTGCATGTGCCACAGGAAAACCACCTTCTAGGGAAGAGACAAAATGTGTTTGATTCAATCATTTTAAGTAACAGAGCAGTATTTTTGGACTCATCAAAAATATTTCCTATAAGAACATAAAACACTAACATTCAGAATCAGTATCATGTATGAAAGAGTACCATATATACAGCTCCAACAATTCTGAAGACAGCATCATCACTCAAAATATTTAAGCTTTACAAGTACCATGCACGGCAAACTATCAAACAGGAAAAAAAAATCAAACTAGTGGTTAGCACCAGCTTGACCTGCCCTATTTTCCTTGAATAATTTACGATTCTGTACAATACTGGGGACTCTTAGAACACTTATCCACAGTGCAATTACAGAGAGCAGTTAGTGATTTCTTTTAAAACAATAAATGTGGCTCACTGGTGACCATTCCCCGGGTGCATCCTCCATGGCACCTGTGCCCAGACCCGGAGGCACAGGTGTGGACACAAAGGACAGCAGCACAGAAAACAGACACACCCTGGGGCACGCACAGTTCCCTCCTCGGATGCAGAGCGACCAGTGTGTGAGCGAGGACAGCTGGGTGTGCGGCTGCGGGCAGTGGTTGGTGCAGCAGGGCCACACCCCCTCGGCTCCTGCTCCAGTCCTCCAGTCTTGCTCAGCTGCTGCCGCTGCTTGGGCTGATGGGTGGGAACACCGCTTGGGCCTGGAGACTTCGTGGCCACCTAGTCCTTTTCTCCATCTTCGCTGCTGCCTGTTTAGGAGAGGGAAAGCAATGTGACAAAGTAGGTTTCAAAAACAATTGTCCCAGATAATAAATCGGGAGAACCTGACCAGCGTGGCAGGAAAAGGACTTGCAGCTCAGGTCTGGCTGCCTCACACCTGCTGAGCTGCCTCATCCGTCTTTAGCGTGGGGTCTGAAGGCTCTGCGCACCTAGCTGCTAGGCGGCAGCTCAGCACCCACACTAGGGGCGAGGAAGGAAAGCAGCCCAAGACGCAGGCAGGCAGGCAGGCAGGCAGGCACACACGCAGGGCAGGTCCTCAGGTGCAAGCGTTATCTCCTCGGCACCAGTGAAGCCGTGCAAACACAAATAAAAGCTCTTTATGGTTCACATTTATTATTTGATCTGTAAACTTCAAATAGAAAAATGCACCTATTTATTAACATTTATCTTCCCATCTAGGTACGGGAAAAATGACCCATATGTTCAGATCCTGCCGCTTCAAATGTGCCCGTCCGTGCCCATGCATTCCCGCCCGGCCCTCTGGTATCACACGGAGACCAGGACTTAATGGCTAAATCAACATTCCTAGGGGAAAAGCCAGAGTGCCCAGGCTCAACTCCAAAGCCTCAGCGAATGTTCAGAGGAGCCTGCGCCTGCTGAAGGGCTACAGCTTTGGGAAAGAAGTGAAGACTGCGGAGCAGGGCAGCTGCCAGCGGAAAAGGAAGAGACAAGCTGGGGAACTGCTGGTGTCCCTCAGCCAGGGCACCTGAGTGCAGCAGGGGTAAGCAGGAATTAGTTTCTAAGTGTTACTAAATCCATCGACAAGTTTCAGGATTGTAGGAGATTTATAGAAAAAAATGTATACATTCACTCACAGTACTGGGGACTGAACTCGGAGC